GCTGGCAAAATTTTAGTGCGGAAGCTTGCATGGTTGCTGAGCTGAAATACCGAAGAGACACACATACACACACAAGCACATCATTGATCGTCACAGTATGCGTTTTTGCTGTGCAGTGCTGTAGCGTTGCTACAGAGAGCAATAAATAGCAACGCGCATCAGGATAGCCGGTGTGATCATCCGTTTTGTGCATTCCGTTCATCAAACGATTGCCTGCTAATGATTTTCACTGCCTTGCACTTTGGTTCGTGCAAAGATAGTTGAAATGTCGAAAAATTATTAAAAATTTCACGCATCAGCACGTGAAAGTGGAATTTGAAACCTCGAAGGGTGAATATCCTTCTACAGTTTCAATCTTCTAATTTTCTGGTTATTGAATTATCTTTGAGACAAGACTTTCGTATGGACGTACTTAAGATCTCGGCATACTTAGGAACTGAATCCGAATTTGTAAAGTCCCTGCTTAAGCAGGAAAAATTCTCCTGGAATTTTTAGCCCCCTAATTCTTCTGGTCCCCAAGATAATGATTTTTCTCGCCAAAACTTCCACGGAGACGTTGAAAATTTGCGGAGTTGTAGTGGGCAGGAGACGCCACGACAAAATTCCAGCTTTATAGCTTATGCATTTCACGAGATAATTTCCCTAACAAAAATTTCACGGAGCTGTACTTGGTATCGAAGGGTGTGTGAAGGCTGAATCCAAATTTACGGGAGTCGCACGTTGATAGGGGACGTCGCCCCAAAATTTCAATTTCCCAACTTTAGTGATTCCCGAGATAATAATTTCCTCCTCTCTCTCCTCCAAACTTTCACGGAGTCGTATGTAGTACCTGGGCGCGCGGGAACGCTGAATTTGAATTCGCTGTCGCACGTAGGCAAGGGATCAATACCCTAAAATTTCAGCTTTCTAGATTTCGTGGTTCTCGAGATAATAATCTCCTCGTTAAAACTTTTTACAGGGCTGTAGTGTTACCCGCAGGCAGGGGAATTTTCTGGGTCGCGCATGGGCAGGGAACATGTTCACAGAATTTCAGCCTTCTGGCTTCCGAGGTTTTTGTGACAATAATTTCACCCGCCAAAACTTACACGGGGCCGTACGTGTTGCCTACGGGTATGGGGAGGCTGAATTTATATTTGCGGAGTCACACGTGGACGGGCAACGTTCTCCTAAATTTCCAGCTTCCTAGCTTTTGCGGTTCCCGAATTGAAAGTGTGGAACAAAATCTGTGGACACATACACACACACCCCGCGATAATATGCGTTTTGTACTGCTGTTACACAGCACAAAACGAATAAAAGCGCATCTTGTCGGTGAGGTCGTTTGGGTGTGCGTGTGTGTTTGGAAACGAGTGAATTTTGTCACCCACTTTCAACTTAGCAACCAGGAAAGCTGGGAGGCTGAAATTTTGGGGACATATTTCTACTCCATGTGCCATCCTCCCGTTTCTAAATCTTTGCTCCCACGCGTCTCGACCTCGCGTATGGACCCCCGAGAAAAATATGCAAATTGCTTTGGCGGAGAACGATTTTAAGAACCAGCCAAGATGGAAAGCTAAAACTTTGCAGAGATATTTTATGTGCTTGTTTGAGCTAAGAACTTCAAATTCAGCCATTCCACACGCTCGTGCAGCGCGTTCGATCATGTGAAAGTTTGCACCTCGAACTGTGATAACTAGAAAACTAGTCGGAAATCAGTGGCTAAAATTTTGTTAGCATATTTATCGCCTGTATGGGAAGCGGTATATCTAACTTGAGTGCCGATTTGCACTTGCACCACGATTTAGTGCGCTTCAAAGATATTTGTAGAGAAGTGGATGTTTCGCTTACTAAGGTGCGAGGCTGAATCTTCGCTGGGATATTCTGCTTTCAAGTGCGGTCTTCTGCCTGGAAGTGAAATTTTCTGCATGTAGTTCTCAGAAATATACAGATTTACCACACACTCAGAAGCGAGTGTATTTTGCAGCGAACGACCGCCCTCATCCTCTCCCAACATCCAGTTCATGTACATATTTGGATTTTTTGACGCACAACTGCTCTAGCGACAATTCCACTTTTCAGTGATGAACTGAATGTTGGGAAACGATGAAGGTGGTCGTTCGCTGCAAAATGCACTCGCTTCTGAATGAAGACTGCGTAAAAAGCTGAGCAAAAGCGCGTGCTTGTACCCAGCTAACCTGGTGCGTTTCAGCCTGGGTTTCATTTGCATATATGCAAAAACTCATAAAAATGAAATGAAAATGCTGCCAAGGACAAACCGGAGCGCTGCATACTGTGATCGAGCGCGGCATGCACAATTGTTTCTTCGCAATTCTCTGTGTCAGCACGTTCGAGAAACTGCCTGCTTGGTCTGATTGGAATGCCCTGCTTTAAGGCTGCTTCCAGTGATTGCTGCACACTTTCTGGAGATCATCGGAATGAAAAAGCTACAAAATTCATCAACATTAAGTAGTTTTAATAAGGGCAATGACTGATGCTTCTCAAAACTGAACCGCAAACCACCCCTTATTTCGAACAATTCAGTTTGGTCAGCTGTCCAACATTTTTTATTTCTGATGTTTTAGCAGAATTCACAGCGCTCACCAAGTATTTCGTGGCTTGAATCAACGTCGTACTTGAATGTTAAGCGGCCGAATGATACATGGCTTAGGTTCTTCAGCCACTCAAAGAATGATACCGTGACGCCGCCACTGTTCGCGAAAAGGTCAGGGATTATCAGGATGTTGCCTCTGGCTTGCAATATCTTATCTGCTGCGGGTGTTATCGGCCCGTTTGCACCTTCCACTATCACCTGAGTGATTCAGTATAAGCGTGAAGTTACGCATATGCTTTGATTAGTTTTATTATTACATATTTATTCTGTGAGGAAGGCTTTGTAGCTTTCTATCTCTTTTAAAGAAATAATACATGCTCGATCTGCACCACTACTAATAAAATCAGAAATTTTCATCTCACCGCTGATAGTTTCTGTGAATCAAAATATTGTATAACACATTACAGTTCTCTTTATATTTCACCCTTTGTGAGGGCTGGAGGCACTCGAAAGTAGCCCAGTTTGAAGCAAGCACGTAACAGCGACAACCGCTCGTTAACAAGACAGCTCATAGCTCCTTTGAAATGAAGGTTACTCAGAAGCAAGTCGATGGTTAAAAAAAAATTTGACTTTTTGCATGCAACAGTACTAATTTAGTATCGAACGAATGGGGTCATAGAAAAACGATGCGAATTACAATAATTGACCAATGCAGGGCTACCCGTGCGAAGATTCGTTTTTTGCGTAGTTCCCCGCAGTTTTTGTCGCTACCGGCACCGGTTTTCCCGGCAAATGTTTCTAGCTAAACAAATTAAGACTGGCCGCTATAACTGTCAGGAAACACCCCCTTAAAATTTCAGCTTTCAAGCATTACTGGCTTCTGGGTTAGCGACTTACTCGAAAAAACTTTCATGAAACCGTACGTGGGTACCACGCTTACCTGTGGGCTGGGTTTGAGCACATTAATACCTACTTGGACGAGGAACATCTCCTTAAAATTTCAGCCTCCCAGCATTTGTGGTTCCCGAGTTAGCAGCTTACCTGTAGATAACTTTGGCGGGCTCGTACATGGATACCATGCGGGTAAGGGCGCGCATTTTGGGGATCGGGGCCTGCACGTGCATACGGATTAAGTACCCCAAGTCTCAGCCCCTAGCCATTGTGGGTCTCGGGATGAAAAATCGGTACAGATGCGCAGCGCACACACAGACACACAACAGACAACCTCTCGTCAATATGCGTTTTCTGCATTGCATAGCTGCAAACTTTAGTCGAAAGTGTACCGGCTACCGGTACGAGGATGCGTTTTTTGCACAGTTCCCCCGCAGGTTTCTTTCGCCAATGGCACGTTCTTCTCGACAGATGCTTCTAGCTAAAAGAATTGTGACTAGCCACCATGACTGTTAGAAATTATTACAATGACTC